ACAATCTGCGCCGAGAACAGAACAAACCTTTGATCTTTGATACCTGAGGCTTTGCGGGATCCACAAAGCACTCTCCATCTGGGTTTCTCTCTGCTCTTGTGACTGCCCCACAAGCACTTCAGTGGCCTGCCCATTTGTGGGAGATAGACTGGAATCAGTATTGTTTTTGTTTCCTATTGCTGCCGTGACAAATTAGCACAAACTTAGTGGCTTAAGACACAAATGTAATACCTTTTGTTTTTTTGAGGATGTGTTTGTTTTTTTTTTTTAAAGATTTATTATTCATACAGAACTGGGGTACAGGACAGAGATGTGGAGCATGGGAGAGCCAACAGAGACAGAGTTGGGAGCAGAACAGGCAGACTGTGGAAGTACACTGGCGAGGGGAGCAGCGGGCGGGTCAGGAGGTCTGCCACGCCATGTGGTTACCTCCGGGGCAGGCGGGAATCGAACTCATGCAGAAGTGGCTTAAGCTTCTTAATGCTGTGCTTTAACCCGCTGCACCACCAGGGAGGGCCGGATGTGTTATTTTAATAGAGAGACCACATCACTTCATTTGTTACAGCAAGGTTAATAATTCAAGAAGACCCCAGGAAGCTAGTTAATCCACAAAATCATAAAAGGATAAGCACCTTCCATCCCCAAGTCTTCAGTTCATTTTCTTTTGATCTCTGTTCTCCCACCCACATCAGCTTGCTGTTTCCAGGGTAGAACTCTGCTTTCAAATCATATGTAGTATTTGGAGATTTAGTCTATCTACTTGCTTCAGTATCAGAAAGGAGGTTCCTAACTTAGCTAAGGAAACTGACTTTTTTTTTAAAATAATATAATAGTTTATTTTTACATCATTTTGTGCATTTTTTTCCATCAGCTGTAATCCCCGTGGGCTTCCCATCACCAAATCACCTGTATGCCATCACCACAGTCCAGTGCATTTCCCTCCCCCCACTGTTTCTGATCCCATTCCCCACTCCACTCCACCCCCATAAAATGTCACTAGTATATAGCTGTTCACTATTATTACTATTTTAAGACCTGGTCCGTTATACTCCCGCTATGAGTGAAACCATCTGGTATTTTTCCTTTTCTTTCTGGCTTATCTCACTAAGCATGATCCTTTCCAGTTCCATCTATGTTGCTGCAAAAGACATGTGTTTCTTTTCTTTTTTTTGGTTGCTGAGTAATATTCCACTGTGTGTATGTACCACATCTTTTTAATCCAGTCATCTACTTTTGGGCATTTGGGCTGTTTCCGTGTCTTTCCAATTGTAAATAAAGCAGCAATAAACATGGGTGTGCAGCTATCTTTTTGAATTAGTGTTTTTGTAGGAACCTGACATTTTTTTTTTAAAGAGTTACTCATTTATGCATTCAGAACAGGGTGTACAGGCTAGAAGTGCAGGGGGTGAAAGGATTCACTGAGATGGAGTGGGGAGCAGCCCAGGCAGATTAACAAGGTATACTGCTGAAGGGAGCAGCAGGTGAGACAGGAGAGGTCTGCCGTGCCATGTGGATCACCTCCGGGTGGGGGATTGAACTCGCACTGAAGTGGCTGCAGCTCACTTGCAGTGCTGCACTTTAACCTGTTGCGCCACCAGGAAGGGCCCATAAATGTTTTCTTTAAAAAGCTGTAGGCAGGCCCTCTCCGGTGGTGCAGCGGGTTAAAGCACTGCACTGAGAAGCTAAAGCCAATTCCGCATGAGTTCGATTCCCGCCTGCCCTGGAGGTGACCACATGGCGTGGCAGACCTCTCTTGACCCGCCCACTGCTCCCCTCTGCAGTGTACTTCATAGATCTGCCTGTTTTGCTCCCCACTCTGTCTCTGGTGAAGTCTCTCACCGCCCCTGAGCCTCTGGCCTGTACCCAAGTTCTCTATGTACAAATAAATAAATCTTTAAAAAAAAAAAAAAGCTGTAGGCAAATGATGTAGAAAGGGGCAGATGTGCCTAACTTAGCTAAGGAACCTGGCAGGTTTTCTTCATTTCGGCCTCATGAATGTTTTCTAAGGTCCATGAATGTTTTCTTTAAAAAGCTGTCGGCGAATGATGTAGCAAGGGGCAGACACAGACACATGTGATGGAAACCAGTAGAAGGGTAAAGAGCATGGCGCCCACAGAGTAATGGATAGTAGGACTCCCAAGGCTGAGAATGCAGGTGCACTGTGGCTCCCACATAGCTATGGCTGGCCTTCAGTTTCCTCTAACATGGGCCACAGGGAAATGATCTGAATGGTACTGGCACCATGATGAAGGCATGCCGGGGCTGGGGTAGGTGTGAGGTAAGGTGGATGGAGGCAAAGAGGGATGGAAGCAAAGATGGCCGCCTTCAGGACTGTGTACTGGATACAATGGTAGCATCAGCACCGTCCTCGGAACTAGCATAAAGACAACGCGCACAGATGGTGTCAGTGTTAGTGGACTCTCAGCGTCTTCAGTGCCGCCAGTGACTTCTTAGGGGTGTGTGACCGAAAGAAACACATTATCTTACAACTCTGGAGTCATAAGGCTGGCATGAACTTTATGAGGCTAAGATCAAGTTGTTGGCAGGGAGGGCTATACTCCCCTCTGGGGAAACCAGGGTTGGGGTAGAAGATTACATTTCCTGGACTGTTCCAGCTTTTTAGAGTCTGCCTGCATTTCTTGATAGGTAACCTTCTTCCAGCCTCAAAGACAGTAACATCAGCTTCTCTGACTCTCCTACCTGCCTTTCATTTTTAAAAATATTTTAGTTTTTTCCCTTTCTTACACTATTGTTTATTTTTGTGCAATATTTGATTTCTCTGCTCATGTAGTTCTCATAAATCTCCCACCTTCATAGCACCCTTCAACTCACAAGCACCCTCATGCTCTTCCCTCCTTTCACTTTTTTTTGAAGATTGATTTATTTATGCATACAGAACTGGGGTACAGGCCAGAAGTGCAGGGGTGGTGAGAGGATTCACCAGAGGCGGAGTGGGGAGCTGAACCCGCAGATGTACTGAAATATACTGCTGAGGGGAGTAGTGGGCAGGTCAGGCAGGAGAGGTCTGCACCATGTGGGTCAGCTTCCTTGCAGCAATCAAACTGGTGCTGCAGTGGCTGGTGATAGCTTCATGGTGCTGTGCTTTAACCCCTGCACCACCAGGGAGGGCCCCTTCCTTTCACTTTCAAGGAGTCTAGTGATAATACTGAACCTGCCTAGATAATCCAAGATCATCTTGTTTTAAGGTCAGCCAACTGGCGGCCTCAATTACCTCTTGCCACCTAAGGGAATACAATTCACAATTTCTGGGGATTAGAGTGTGGACATCTTTGTGGACCCATTCTTCAGCCTGCCACCGATATCTTTACTAGTCTAGCATCACTGATACTTATAGGTGTTCTTCACTATAGACTACACTTAAGGTGTTGTTTTATTAGCTACAGACTGAAGCCTACTCTCAAAGCTGCATGGAATTGGCTATGTGCCCACGGCAGTATGAACTTCCCCAGCCAAATCCTCAGGTCCCTTCTCCCTAGCCCCACCTCCAGCCAACAGGATGGTGGCACACTGACCTCACTAGGGGAGTCTGAGTGCAGTGGCTCCCTCCCTGCAAAGGATGAGGCCTTTCTGGGAAGTCCTCATCGCTTCCTCTGCTGACTGACCCCAGCTACCACCATGGGAAAATGCCCCCATGGGCCAGTTGCTTGCCCTACCCGCAAGTTCTCTGATCTTGTTTTTGCTCAATTCCACTTCCATTTCCCCAGGAAGTAAGATGCATCCCTCTCAGTTGAGTTGCCACGCTGCCTAATAACTGGCTCTATGATACCATCACCTGGTCCCAAACTGACTTTCAGTCTTGTGTTCAACCCTTCCTCTACCTGAACCCAGGTGGGCATACTCTTACTCTTCCGACAAGCGTTGCTGTTTTCAGCCTTCCCACTTTTGCTATTGCCTTAGAAGTACTGCCTTTCCTATCCGTTGCCTTTGCAAATACTGCTTGCTACTCAAGGTGTGCTAAGTGCTGTCTTTAGGCGGCCTTCCCACGTGGCTCCAGCTGCAGTGTGTGGAGCCCCTGATGCTGGGTGCCTCATGGCATGGATTGCCCCATGTGGTTACTCTTCACACCTCCCCTGCTGGCATACGTGTCTGGTGTATGGAGACTGTCTTATGTCTAAAGACCCTTTCCCCAAATTATGGCCACAGAGAGCTCAGCTAGTCAGTTGACTAGCTGTTTACCCTACACCCATGTACCTGGGTACCTGCCTGAGTGACCCAGGAGGCCAGAGAGAAGTTAGAGGTGACATAGACAAAGGCAGCATCAGTGGGCACAGACCGTGGGCTAGGCATGGAGTAAAGTGCATTGCAGAAGCCTGGCAGGGCCAGCTTGGCAGGGCCAGCTGGCAGGGCCCTGCTAACATCTGGTCCTAATTACCTTGTTGTGGTTTTAAATTTTTAATTGAGCTAACCTTGATTTACAACACTGTTTATGTTTTGGGGATAAGGGTCACACCTTTTCAAGTGTCTGTTACCACACCTGGCTCACACCAAAACCCCAGTAATCCCCTACCACAGTCCACTGAGTGATTATCTTGTTTATTAGAATATTTTAAGCAAGAGTTTGGACACCAGAAAAAAAAGAGAACAAATGCAGGGGGCCTTGAAAGGACCATAGCCACAGTCACTGCAGAGCTGGGGGCTTGGGCCGAGGCCCCATAGGGGCAGCTTCCACTAAGCTGTTCGCCTCATGCTCCCTGCACATGGGAAGTCAAGGTCTAGTTGCTGTATCAGGAGGCTGGCGGAGCTCCAGGCAGCCAATGCAAGGAGGGCCTGAAGGCAGCTGCCTCTGGGCAGCAGGATGCGGCTGGGCAGCGCAGGAACATCTCCCAGAGGCAGGAAGGCTGCTCTCTGAGAAGCCTGGTGGTGCTGGGGCTGCCGAGGAATCCCAGGAGTGTGTCTGGGGATCTAGGCTTACTGGCAAGCGGGGAGGAGACCAGCATCCGGGAGGAGTCAGATGGCAGGAGGGGACCCCCAAGGCATCCTCACAAGCCCGAGTAGGAGGCCTCTGTGGTCTCAGACCAAGATGAATCCCGGCGGGAAGACGACAGCTGCTTCTGCCCTGGGCATCCCAGGTTCGCAAACAGCATCCACATGTGCTCTCGGAACTTGACACCCACAAAGGCATAGAGCAAGGGGTTCAGGCAGCAGTGCAGGTAGCCCAGACCTGCAGTGACTGACTTGGCCACGTCTACCTGACTTTCTCGGCTGCAGTTGCGGGCAAAGGCCCCCAGGTCCATGAGGGTGTCCACCAGCATTGCCAGGTGGTAGGGGCTCCAACAGAGGGTGAAGGCTACCACCACTGCCACCACTAGCCGCATGGCTCGCAGCCGCCGCCGGCTTCTGGAGAGTAGCAGCACAGTCAGGATGCGGGTATAGCAGTAGGCCATGACCAGCAAAGGCAGCAGGAAGCCAGCCACCAGCTGCAGTACTTGCAGAACTGTTCTGCCCACCTTTGGGAAGTTGTACTGGCAGTGGGTGGCATTGAGGCGCATATCGTGGTGGGCTGACAGGAAGATGAAGTCAGGGAGGGCAAAGAACAGACAGAACCCCCAGACAACTACACAGGTGAGGGGCATGCGGCCCTGGGGCACCCGGCGGTAGAATTGGGTGGCATGCACAATGCTCAGGTACCTGTCAAAGCTGATGCAGGCCAGCAGGAGGGCCCCCGCGTAGAAGTTGATATGGAAGAGAGCACCAGCCACTTTGCAGAGGCCGGAGCCAAAGACCCACTGGACAGCAGCATCCACTGCCCAGAGTGGGAGGGTCAACACCAACAGCATATCGGCCACTGCCAGGTGGAGCAGGAAGATGTCAGTGCTGCTCAGGGCTGCCCGCTGGCTCATCAGCACGATTGCCACCGCTCCGTTGCCCAGTAGCCCCAGCACAAAGAGGAGGCTGTAGAGGACCGGCAGGAAGGCCCGGTCAAAGTTGAGGCTGTAGTCCTGTGGACAGGGTGGGGAGGTGCAGCAGGAGTCGCTCTCATTTTCTCTGTAGTCATAGGGAGAGCTGCTGTTCTCGAGGAGGAAGTCCAAGTCAGAGGCAAGGAGCACCTGGTGTTCACTCATCTGGAGGAGGGGTGGGGGTGGGGAGTCAGAGTGTAAAGCTCTTACTACCGAGGAGACTGAGCAGCCCCTCTGTGAGGGCAGCCCCAGACCCCGCTGTGCCCTGTAAGTGGTCTCACCCCTTTCTTCCAGGGCTGCTCCTCCCAGAGGCCACCTGCCAGCTCTGGGTGCTGGGATGCCAACTCCTTTCTCCGCGACTGCTCTCTTACCTCTGGGTCATCTCATCAATGCAGGGATTGTGGGCAGGAGAAAGCACCTCCCTTCTGCGCAGGGTCCTCCCTGTCTTCTCTTACTCTGCTTTCAAGGCTCACCGCCCTGTGCCTAGTTCCAGGACTTTCCTTCCTGGGTGCTTTCCTACATTCCCCTCCTCCAGTCACTGGCTCTTCATCCCCCTCCCGCATTTCTTGTCTGGGGACCCCTTCTTCCGTTCCCGCCCAGGGCCCGCCTGGGAATCACTGCTTTCCCCCACCTCTCAGTCACCCCAGAGCCTCGGTCCTCCCTACCGCCAATTCAGCACAGGACAACTCAAGTTCCAAGTCAGCTGAAGGGAGCCCCAGAGCCCACCCTGGGCAGTCTCTAGAGCCTGCATTTTGCAGAGAAGGCACCAAAGCCAGCGGGGGTGGGGACTTGCCTGTGGTGACATGAAAGCCAGTGGCTCAGGTGGCTTCCCAATTCCCTGTCCAGTGCTCCTACCACAAACCCCAGCAGCCCCTACTTACTCATCCAACCCTCTGTGGCCCTGAGTTGTGCGCTAGCCCTGACGTTCCCATCATGTCCTGGGCTCTCCACTCCCAGCTGCGGTCAGGCCTGGTTGGGCAGTTGCACTTACCCCAGGGAGCATGGCTGGGCTGGTGCTCCGGCTACTGGGGTGTGTTGCCTGCTCCCCTGCGTTGGTGCTTGTGGTTGGGAACCTGTACTGCAGAGGAAATGAGGGCTCGTAAGCTTCTTTGCAACAGCTCCCCTATACGTGAAGCCGCTATTTTTTCCAGCCATCCTCTGAGTGAAGGAGTTGGACAAGCTGGCCAAAAATCTGGGACCGCAAAGGTTAGGTTCTAAGAAGGGTAGGGGTGCTGAGCGGGGTGCTCCTCCTTTGGGAGAGAGGTCTGAAGGAGAAAGCGCTCAGCTGGGAGGCAAAGGGGGCTCTACCACCTGCTTCTGCACTATTTATAGGCATCCCGCAAACCAGTGGAGTCGTGTTCCTCTGTCCCTGTGAGAGCTTGTTTGGGCGCCATGGCCAACTATATCACTAAGCATGTTGAAGCTGCAAAGGGGATTAACCTTCTTAAAAAATTAAAATATTTTAAAGCAATTCATCACCCCAAATCTAGTCCTCCCCACTAAATAACAAGGGCCAGAAAAGGGAACTACTAGTAATGCCTTAGAAGCCTTCTCTGACCTGTATCAGTACCAGCAGACTCTCTTGTGAGGTAGGGGACTGTGTCTGTGATCTGTGGCTAGTCCTGAAAGGGGAAAGGATTTTGCCAGGCACAGCAAGTAGGGGTACCTAGGACTGAACCCACAACTGTCTGAATTCTTGTACTGCTCTTCACCCTGCCTTTGGCTGTGTGTGTGTGTGTATGTATGTATGCATATAAATACACATATATGTTTGTGTGTGTGTGTATAAATACACATATGTGTGTATTTTATATATATATATATATATATATATATATGATAGTTTATTTTTACATCATTTTGTGCATTTTTCCATCTCAGTTGCAATCCCCTTGGGCTTCCCATCACCAAATCACCCATGTGCCATCACCATAGTCCAGTACATTTCCCTCCCCTCACTGTTTTTGATCCCATTCCCCGCTCCACCCCCACAAAATGTCCTGGTATATGGCTGTTCATCATTATCATTATTTTCTCATCTGTACCGTTATATTCCTGCTATGAGTGAAACCATTTGGTATTTTCCCTTTTCTTACTGGCTTATTTCACTAAGCATGATCTTTTCTAGTTCCATCCATGTTGCTGCAAAAGGCATGTGTTTCTTTTTTGGGTTGCTGAGTAATATTCCATTGTGTATATGTACCACATCTTTTTAACCCAGTCATCCATTTTTGGGCATTTGGGCTGTTTGCATGTCTTTCCAATTATGAATAAAGCAGCAATAAACATGGGGGTGCAGGTATCTTTTTTTAAAAGATTTATTTATTCATACAGAACTGGGGTACAGGCCAGAGATGCATAGGGTGAGAGGATTCACCAGAGACAGAGCAGGGAGCAGAACAGTCAGATTGATGAAGTACACTGCTGAGGGGAGCAGCGGGTGGGTCAGGAGGGGTCTGCCACGCTGTGTGGATCTCCTTCAGGGCAGGTGGGGACCAAACTCATGCGGAAGTGGCTTAAGCTTCTTAGTGCTGTGCTTTAACCGGCTGCGCCACCAGGGAGGGCCCACAGGTATCTTTTTGAATCCGTGTTTTTGTGTCTTTTGGGTAGATACCTAGGAGTGGGGTTGCTGGGTCATAGGGAGGCTCCATGTTTAGCAGTTTGAGGAACCTCCAAACAGGTTTCCATAGTGGTTGTACTAGTTTGCATTCCCACCAGCAGTGCAGGAGAGTTCCTTTTTCTCCACATCCTTGCCAACATTTGTTGTTGCTAGTTGTTTGAAGATGTGCCATTCTCACTGGGGTGAGGTGGTATCTCATTGTGGTTTTAATTTGCATCTCCCTTATTACGAGTGATGTTGAACATTTTTTCATATGCTTGTTGGCCATCTGCATTTCCTCTTTGGAGAAGTGTCTTTTTAGCTCTTCTGCTCATTTTTTGATAGGGTTGTTTATTTTTGTTGAATTTGGCTTTTTTTTAATGGAGAAACTATGATATATTTTATGCACTTAATCAAAAATGAATCCAGCTATATCTTTTAACCTGGAAACATCTAGAATGGCAAAGGCCAGGTGGTGGAGGCAGCAAGTTGTAGGGCATCATGTCTAATTTGGCATCACAGAAGTTAATTTGAATAGCTATGCACAAAACCCAATACTGGATTGTTTTGGATACAGTTATTTGTTCTAATGTTTAAAACATAAGAGCAGTTGCTTCTGGGATGAGAAAAAGGGAGCTGGGTTTGGGAGGAGTACACAGGGTGTCTTGATTTTAAGGAAAAGCTGTAAAGTGTAGAACAGATCCTATATGGCCCCTGGGAACTTCCCTCTCTAACCTCCAACCTGGCCTTCAACTCTTCCCTCTATATTTTTTAGGACCCCTGTTGTGACACTGGGGTTCATCCAGATACTACAGGAGAATCTTATTTTAAGGTCAGCTAATCAGCAAGCTCAGTTCCCTAAAGCCCTGGGAGTAGGAGGGTGGTGGGGGAAGCTTCTCTTAACTTGCCTCTCCCAATCAGTAAGTAATTTGTGTCCTTTGTATGAAAAGAATAGGGGGGCTGAGGGAGTTTGGGCCAGTGCTAATGCTGGCTCATGGCCTTGGGGTTTAATTTTCTACCCAAGAACCTCTAAGTTCAGACCTGGATTTTAGTTCAGACTTACCAATGAGACATACACTTAACAACAGTGAGGCCCTGCCCTTCCCTCTATGGGGAGAAGTTGTCACTGTCCTTGTTTAAAGCAGGGTGCTAGCTGCAGGGACCAGGGAGGGACAACTGAGGTCCTGGATGAGGCCAAAAGTAGTACCTGTGGGGGGTATAGGGAGGATTCCAGAAGCCCCAGCAGTGAGCATGGCAGGACATGGCAAGGACTGGCTGAGGCCACAGAATGGGACTCTTCTGGACTCCCTGGCTCCTCCCTGCTCCAGCTGTATCCTGGGGACAAATGATGTAACTATTTTGAGCTGGTCTCTTCAGTGGGGTGTAGTAAGATGAATTAAAATAACCAAAGCCACGAGGCCTCTGGTGCAGGACCCAGAGCTTAGTAGGAGCACAGCAGAGAATGCAAGGGTCTGTTCCTTTGGAAAGGCTGCCAGTCACCTTAGCTGAGAGGGCCTAATTCTCTGACTGGGCAAATCATTTCATCTCTTTGCCTTGGTTTCTTCAGTTGAAAAGTAGGGATAAAGACAGCACACATGGGATAGTGTTGCTCTGTGGACAGCCAGTGACACAGTATAAGTGTCTGGCATGAGGTAGGTGGCTGGTGAACACTTTCCTCCCTTTTTTGTGACTTTCCAAGCCATCCCCTCCCAGGCCTCAGAATAGTGGGTTGACTGTGGACCTCTGCTGCCTTTCATGGCTTGGATGACTTGGGAGACCCTCATCTGGCCTTTTAATTTGTTCTTCTCCCAGTCCAAGCACCACCAGATCAGGCCAGAGGCAGGCCCTGCCCTTAGGGAGATCCACCTAGCCAGAGGCCCACTCTAAATTCTAATGTAACCTTGTCTCTTGTCCTCTCCAAAACAGCCCGTGGAGAAGCTGGAGGAAGTTAGTCAGAGTGAAGCTGTTCCGGGCCCCACCTGTGGTCAAGGTGTGAAATATGCACCTGTGTCTTCTCTGCCACCCCTCCCCCTGTTTTTTTTCTTCTTTTCACACCTCTAGGCTGTGGTTTGGGGAGCTGGGAGGCTCGGAGGTCTGAGCCCTAGGCCCAGTCCCTCACAGGAAGGAGGGCCTCCACCAGCCAGGGAAGGGGGGTATTTCCTTCTCCCTCTCAGTGTCTGTTGCTTTACAGCCTTTCTGGTTGCTCCTCCTAATGCCCCTTGGGGGCCAGTTCCAAAAACCCCTGGACTCATTCTCTACACCCAGGCTATTGGGTGCAGGCCCAGTGAGGCCCAAGCTTCCTGTGGAGCTAAGGCAGTAGCATCAACTGAGGGCAAATCTTTGTTGCGTGACATTAAGAAGAATCCCAGCCCCAGATTAGGGTGTTGGTCTACTTTAGACCTGCCAGGGCCCTGGGCTGCCTGCTGCCATTCTGAATTTATCACAGGGAGCCCTGGTTGGGAACAGCCCGCTGTTCTGCCCCTTTTCCTAGCTTCGAACTCTGCTGGGAAGCAGTTGTAAGTTCTGGGGGCAGGGAGGGCCCAGGCAGTGCCAGCAGTGTGCTAAT